CCAGGGTGCATTGTGTGCCGGGAAAGAGCGTGGCAATGAGTTGTGCCAGGCTGGGCAGACCTCCCAGGTCTTTAATGCAACGCCTCCTCCCACATACGAACCGCACGGCTCCTCTGCTCTGTGTCCTGTAATGTGTGTACAAGGCAAAGGGCAGATCCACAAGCAGTAGGACTTTCAAGTCAATTCCTCTCGTGACGGCTCTTCCCTGTCTCCGCAGCCCCCGCCCCGTCCAGCCTGCCCCTGGCCATCGGGCTCTCCGCTGCCGGGACCTCCCTCCTGACGTCGGCGTCGTTCCTCCTCTGGCTCCTGAAGCGCCTTCGGAAGAAAGGTGAGGGCCTGTGCACGCACCCCAACCCTGCGCCACGTGCTCTCCACGCGCAAAATCAATAGTCAGCAGCAGTCACAGAGCAGCAGTCTTAGGGGAAGAGTTCACAGCACCCAAGTGGGAAGTTTTAGGAAATGGGTGTCAGTTGCGCTCACATTTCACGACCGCGGGCAGCACCACGCGTGCTGGGTTCTGTGGCCTCTGAGGCCGTGCAGAGGCTGCCAGGGCCCGTGCTCCCAGGAAAATGGGCAAAATATCTCTGAAAATGTGTTTGGGGAACAGGCTTCCGTGGCGGAATAAATCGGAGGGGATGCGTGAAGCATCCAGCCACACTTGTGGTTTGTTTGGCCTACGGAGTATTGAAAACTTTTTTTGAATTAAGTTCTGATTACAAAATAGGAAATTTCACATAGGACCTGGATTCGGGACTGGTCATGAAAAAGTGGACCCTACCTCTGGCCAGCCGAGCCTGTGGCTGCGGCTTGTGTGGGAAGCTAGGCCCCTCCGTGAGGGCCGCTTGCACGCCACCCTACTTGCCGCCAAGCTGTGCTTGCGCTCTGATGACATGGGGCCCCCAAAGGCGTTGCGTGTGCCACCCCTGAGGATGAATCAGACTATTTCTGGACTCGATGTGCCCTTCGAAGTCACTGAGTCCAAATTACGGTTGTCTTTTTCTTGCAGCAAAGAAGTTTGTTCCCGCCAGGTAAGTTGCGCTCTGCACCCCGCGTGCCACTGAGCACCTGCACGTCTTTCTCTCTTCCCGTCGAGAGCGGTGCCTCACCCAGTGTTCTTGTGTGTTCTGCAGCAGCTGCCACGGCCCTCCGTCAGATGGATCCTACCAGACATTGATTTAAGTCCAAAAAGAATCAGGTAGGCATTGAAATCACACACGGTTTTGAGAGGAGACACCCTCTTTACATGTGCTGTTGTTCTTTGAGCCCCCCCAGATCTACCAGTTTCTAGAGTGCGGGTGAGGGGTCACCCCTTCAGGGGATTTTATGGACTCTGGTTTCATGTGTTTATAGAAGGAGAGGAAAGGAACCAGGCTCTGGCCACATTGAGTCAGTTCATTTATGGAAGTTAATAATAACGATGATAATAGCTAACCTTTATATGGCACTTACTATATGCTAGGAACTGTTCTGAGCTAGGAATTCTATGCGATGGGGCTATTACTATATTTATTATTATATAGATGGAGAAAATGAGGCACAGAGAAGTTAAGTAACTTGCATAAAATCTCAAGGCTCGTAAGTGGTGTGGCCAGGATTCATACCTGGGCAGTTTGGTTCTAGCATCAGTGGCCTTAACCACTCTGCTCTGTTCTCTGAGAATTTGAAAGGGTCAAGTCTCCCCCAAATGCTTTTTAAAAAATTAGTGCCTTTTGTGTGCAGTTTTAGGTTCTTAGGAAAAGTGAGCAGAAAGCACATACTTCCAACATACCCTGACTCCCACCCCCCATTTCCTCTATTATTAACATCTTGCATTGGTATGGTATTTTGTTACAATTTGTGGGCCGACATTGTTACATTATTAACTAAAGTCCACAGTCTTCATTAGGGTTCAGTCTTGGTGTTGTCTATTCTAGGGGTTTTGACAAATATATGACACAAATCCACCCTTATAGTCTCATACAGAATGGTTGCACTAAGCTAACGGAGTAGGATTTGCTGTTCATGTTTGCACTACCCCAGTGAGAGTGCACACAGTGAACAGAAGATGAATTCTGTTGTCTCTCTTCTTATGCAGAATATTAAGTGTCCTGATGATCTGCACTCTTGTACCTGCAGGAACACAGGTAAAGGAGGGAATGAGAGCGATGCCCTGAGGACAGCAGAGAGCTCTCCTTGGATCTCAGACCTTTGTCACCTACTGCAGCTGGACTGCAGTGCCCCCCGAGAACTTCAAAGGACCAAAGTCCCGCGGGCAAGGCCAGCCTGCCAGCAAAATGACTCAATTTCCTTTGTCCTGTTCTAAGGATCTGGAAAGTGCTGGATACAGGGGGAAGGATATTCTCTTCCAGACAAAAGCAAAGAGCCCAAGGCTCTGGAGTCTCAGAACTCCTTTTCTAGCTCTCCCTCACTCCTGATGAAATCTGGGTGGAGAAACCCAGTATTTTGTGACATGATTTCTTTTGTCCTTCATCTCTCTATATAAAAGCCTAAGTGACTAAATGACCAGTCAACCAGTTGCTATGGCACACACTGACCACCAGGGGGAAGACATTCAACACAGGAGCTGCCCCCTAGTGGTCAGTGCGCTGCCACAGCAGGAGCGCCACTCAGCTGACTGACCCATCTCAGTGGCCCACCATCCCAGCGGCAGCCACTCACCGCCTCAGTAGTCCTGCAAGTCCAATCTCCAGAGAACAGACCAGGCACCCATGGACTGGTGCCTCCAGCATGATCCCGACAGCGCCGCCGGCCTCCTGGAAGTCAGCTTCGGGCACGGCGGCCGCTTCCCCTCCCAGATGCTTCACAAGGAAGAAATTATATAAAAGCGGCCACCAGGTGGCTCCTGGCAACCAGTGGGAACATCAGCAGAATGGATTCAGATCCTGGACCAGCAAGAGCATCCCGTCCCCTGGCCCGCCTGGAGGGCTGATCACATCTCGGCCACCCACCTCGGGATGGGCGCCCGATCAGGACTGACTGGATGTGAGCCCGCGGCAGGCGCAGCAGGCCAGGATGAGCGTGAGCGGCAGGCAGGAGCAGCAGGCGTTGGACTACCGGTTTCAGCCCAATCCCCGCAGGCCACCCTGAGGGACCCCAGCCGTGCACAAATTGGTGCACCGGGACTCTAGTAGTGTTATAACTACTGGTTACAAAGTTGCTGTCATGGGCTGAATGATAATTGTCAAAAGTTTAGATGAAACAAATTGTACAAAGATAGTCTGTTACTGACTTAAAAAAAACAAACAAAAAAACAACAACCAACACCTGCGTGGAGATTATTAAACAAAGCCTGGACCACTGTGTTCCCTGTGGGACTCAGTGCTCTTTAAAGTATTCTGAGAGGTAGTAGTCTTCTCACTTGCATGGAGTATGTATTCCATGATTCTTCATTCAGCACTACAAGTGTTGTAGGCACTTTAACATATGTAAGTGTTAGGACTTTCCTAGATCACCACCTCTTTATTTATTAACAAATTCTAATGTTGCATCTGCAGTGACTATATTTCAATAAAGGGCAAATCCTATCCCCTGACAATGTACAATGGTAACCAGTGTACATTGTTAATTTTTTCCTACAGTTGCTTTTAAAAAATGGAGTAGTACCGGGTGAATAAAAGCTAAGCAGCAGACGCTGTGCACAGTCAGTTAATTTTTCAGAAACTTGTGGTTTCCATGATGAAAAACTTCCAGGAGACCAAATGTTCTGATTTGATAAAGGCATATGTGCAAATGAATGAAGGGACACTTTCGTGAATGTCTTTGTTGAAAAAGCACCCACCTGTAGGAATAAGGATGTACTTTGCATCCCCAAAAAAGATGTTTATCGGATGTGATGTGTCAGCATACAGTTCTTGACGAGTGCAAGGCCCTAAGTCCACGATAGGACCCTGCCCGTGTCCTGGGTTCACCCAGTGGGTTTTCACAAAGTGAAGATGTTGAATAATTATTTCCCAGTTGTTTTCTTGTGTGTTAGGCTGTTCTTAAAGGGAGGGAAGCCTGGATGAGCAAGTTTTTATATTCGTGTGGAAAGCAGCTTAAAACTCCTAAGGAGACCAGTTATTGATCGCTGGCCCTGGGAAGTGCTGTCAGTGACTGCAAGGCTGCTTCAGCCTCGCAGGTGTGAGGGTCAAAGCTGCCTCACACCCCCGTCGCCTCCGCATGTGCTGAGGAAGCCACGCTCAGAGGTGCTTTGGCCCAGGCAAAGCCAGAAGTAAGAGGAGAGGCGACAGGAATCAGGACAGCGGGGTTTTGAAGGGCCAAGGACTCTGGGATATAACAGGAAGAGGATGCATGTGAAATGTGTGATCAGGCTACATTGGAAATGAAGGACCATTGTATCTGAAACTGCTCCAATGTAAATGTGTATGTTATTGAGTTGGAAATAGCTGTGTGAGATGTAAGTGTGTCTGTGTTTTATAAAGTATTTTAAATTATGATTTTAAATATGTTGCAATTTTTAAAGTATGTATTTATTTAAACTTATGTCATACTTATTGTATTTGACGTGGCACTATAAAGTTTGGTAATAAACATGTTTATATGTATCTCTGTGTACGGCCTCTTTCTTAACAATTCTGTGCTATTTAGGTAAAACTCACACACCATAAAATGCACCCTTTTAAGTGTACAATCCAATAGTTTTTGTATATTCACAAGATCCTGCAGTCATCCCCACATGTAACTCCGGAGTACATCTCTCACCCCAAAAAGAAACCCAATACCTCAGTAGTCACCCTCCCTCCACCCTCCCTCCATCCCAGCCCCTGTGAACAGGAACCCACTTTTGCCTCCATGGACTTGCCTGCTCCAGACATTTCACGTAAGTGGAATCATGTGGCCTTGTGTCTGGCGTCTTTCGCTCAGGATAACGTATCCAAGGCTCATCCACTCCGTAGCATGTGTGGTACTTCATTCCTTTTTATGGCTGAGTAATCCCTTATTGTATGGCCATGCCGCACATTCTCTCCCCATCCGCCAGCTGGTGAACATTTGGGTTGCTGCTGCACTTTGGCTGTTGTGAACGATGCTGCTATGAACTTCTTGTACACGTTTTTGAGTAGACTTACGTTTTCAGTTCTCTCGGGCGTGCAATTGCTGGGCCATATGGTAACTCCATGTTTCATTTTTTGAGGAGCAGCAAACTGTTTGGTAAGAGGGCCGCACCCTTTTACCCCGCTCCCGCAGTGCACAAGGGCTCCAGTTTCTCCACACCCGTCCAATACTGGCTACTACTGTCTGTCTTCTTGGCTATCACCGCACTCATGGGCCCCTGCACCCATACTGCACAGTTGTCTGGAAAATATGAACGCTCTAGAAAAGGTAAGGAAGGTCAATGGAACAAAGTCCGTTTGCTGGAGGCTTTGCCTCAGGCCCGTCTCCGATCTCAAGTTGCTCAAGTTAAACAATTCACCTTCATTTACTCTGCAGACTTGTTTTCCTCCGGGCCCAGGGCCAGGCTAGTTTCTCTGCTCCCCTTTCTCCCCCCAAAAGGTGTCTCCTCTCTTCTGAAAGGTGTCACCCCACGAGGCCTGGTGTGTGCCAAGCGGAACACCTCCTTGTTATCAGGCTCAAAACATCTGACATTTCTAAGAAAACGTGGTTTGATTGTTGACTTGGTTGTCCAGGCTGAAAACAATTGTGGTTATGGCACTGTCATCGGCTACAGTGGGTTTCACTTTGGTTTTATACTTCATCTTAGCTCAGAAGTTCTACTTAAGAGAAAAAGTAAAGAAAAAATGAAAAACCAGGCAAGGTCCTGCTGGTGAGGCTGTTTCCCTGGAGACCGAGATAGCAGCCCAGAAGGCAGCCTGTGACTGTTGGCTTTCCCGGCACAGAGTGACGCAGCAAACTGTACAAACGCAGTGTGTGCAGCCCGGCCGGCGTGGCCCTGTGGTTGAACATGGACCTATGAACCAGGAGGTCACAGTTCAATTCCCGGTCGGGGCACATGCCCGGGTTTTGGGCTCCATCCCCAGTGTGGGGCGTGCAGGAGGCAGCTGATCAATGGTTCTCTCTCATCATTGATGTTTCTCTCTCTTTCTCCCTCTCCCTTCCTCTCTGAAATAAAAAAACATATATTTTAAAAAAGCAAAACAAAAAGCAACAACAAATTGAATGTGTGCAGAAGGAATGCAGGGGCCCGAGGACATGGACGTGGGCCAGCGAGAGCACAGAGTGAGGAGGGGAGCAGCTCTGGGTTGGCAGGTAGCTTCCATGGAAGACAACACACACTTACGCGCTCCAGAGTTAGACTAAGTGTCCACCCGCCCCCCAGACCCAGCAGGACCACCCCTCCTGGCCACCGCCTTCCTCAGCCAGAGTGGAAGCCCCTCTGCTGGCCTGTCACCTTCTAGACAGCTCACCAGACGACACCTCCTGACCCACCTGCTCTCCTTCCCAAACGCCACCTTCACCCTCGGGATTGCTCTCCCCAGTAGGCCAGCCCCCACCCTCCAGTTCCTCTCCAAACCCCTCCCACCCTGCTGTCCCCACAGCCAGGCCTGCAACAGGCCCTGTAGATCTCTCCAGGGGACGTCTGCTCTCTCACGTCCACACCTCAGTGGTGGGAGGCAGGGGTGGCCTCCTTTATGGTGAGATTCTCTTACTGATCTTTGTTCTTCTAACCCCTTTTTAAAAAATATATGTTTATTGATTTCAGAGAGGAAGGGAGAGGGAGAGAGAGAGAAACATCAATGATGAGAGAGAATCATTGATCAGCTGCCTCCTGCATGCCCCCTACTGGGGGGCAGGGGGATGAAGGCTGCAACCTGGGCATGTGCCCAGACCGAGAATCAAACTGTGACCTCCTGGTTCATAGGTTGATGCTCAACCACTGAGCCACGCCGGCCGGGCTTCTAAAAATAAAAAGAAGAAATAAAATAACCCTGTTTCCTTGGAGCACGTGACACCAAGTTCACCACCTCATTGCAAGGACTCCCAGCCCCTGGTCCTCCTCACCCTCAAGCACCCCTGCATCCTGTGTGACCTCACCCAGGTGCACCGCAGTCCACTGTCCGCGTTCTCCGTTCTCCATCATTCTTCTCCCTCCGCTCGGCTGCCTCTCCCGGACACGGCCTCACCCGTGCGGTCACTGAGCTGCATCCACTCTAGAATCACAGGCGCTCTCGGGTTCGAGGGGAAGTCTGCAGGTCAGTTTGGTGCATGTAAATTGGGAGGTGGAGTAAACCACGAATGGAGATATCGGGAAGGCGTCTGATGGGCACGGGGGTCGTTCCCGGGGCAGAGGAATGTCCCGGGTGGAAACAGACATCGGAAGTGAGTGGCATTTAGGCGGCATTCAGGTTCAGAGACCGGGTCGGGCCATCGAGTCCACGGGGTAAACGAGAGAAGAGCAGCGAGCGCTGGGGCACCCACAGGCTTGGCGGTCGGGGAGCTGAGGGAGCATCGACCAATGAAATGGAAGGACAGTGGGTGAGGTGGGGAACCAGGAGCCGACTGGCCGAGGAAAGTGAGGACGGAGACCTGGCTGTGGGCTCAGTGAAGGGAGGACCCAGGCCCTGGCGTGGCTGAAAGCCTGGCTGACAAGGTCAGGAGAGAACGGGAGGGGAGCACTTAGAAACGCAGTCTAGACGCTGCTTTGGGCTGGAGGTGGAGATGGGCACTTCGTGGGTCCCCTCGGCCCCAGGCTTGTGCCCTGTAACATGCCTTCCGAGCTCCTGCCTGGAGGAGAGCCCCACAGTAACCACACGCACAGGCTCGAGCGGGGATGGTCCCAAACCCCAGGTCTCTTCCTTTCTTACCTTCCCAGGACTTTAAAACCAGGGATAGTAATAGTACCTACTGCGGGGTATTGTAGTTAATCTCTATAAAGATTAATAAGGTAATAAACATGGAGTGTTGAGATCTATAGCTATTGTTGTTATTGTCTTTTCAAAAATGCAAATCCGATGGTCAGTGACTCCCCCTTCCACTGCCCCTCCTCATTCGGGTCCTGATTTCATATGCAGTGTATCTCCTTCACATGATACACTCCAGGGTACGGATAAGGGCATTTGTAGGCCCCCAAACCCCCCGAGGGCAGAAAGCCAGAGCTGCTCTGCAGGTCAGGGCTTAACTTTAGGGGTGCCATGGACAAGGACGTCCACTAGGGGGCGAGCAAGGGGGCAGGAAGGCACCCTCAAGCTGGTACAGGTGAGCCCTAGGCAGTCTAAGGGGCATCGTAATGTCTGAAGTACTTTTTGATTGTGTGGTGTTTGCAGTTATCAGGCGCCTCTACCATGGATAGCAAAGAGTTGGCCCAATGTTGATAGAAAAAGAAAGAAGAGAGACAGACAGATAGAGGGAGACTGGGAAAGAGGAGAAGAGGGAGGGAGGGAGGTAGGGAGGAGGGGGAGGGAAGGGAGAAAGGAAGGAAAGAAGGAGGAAAGGAGAGAAGGGAGGAAGGGAGGAAGGAAGGAAGGGAGGAAGGAGGCTGGGAGGAGAGAAGAAAGGAGGAGAGGGAGGATCTAACAACAGCACCTTGGTCAGAGCTCTGTTTTTCTCAGGGGAGGTGACAGAGGTCAGGAAAGAGGTGGGGAAAGAGGAGCTAGAAGGGGGGGGGAGTGGGGAGGAGGAGGATGTGAGACTGCGTTAGAGAAATGAGAGAAAGCAGCCCTTCTGGGACACACACAGTGAGCAGCACAGCCTCGCCCGGGCCAGGACAGGAGCCCCCGGTGCAGAGCCGGGACGTGGGGCCGCAGAGGGACCGGACCAGGACGGTGCAGACATGGTGAGCTCTCAGCCTGAGAGGCCTCAGGTGCTCTGCAGAGCCCCTTCTCGGGGTTGCAGAGGCGGTTGGCAAAGGACAGGAGGCAACGCATTTCCTTTTTGGGTTGAAAAAGCCAGGAGCTAAACCTGCCGGGGCCCCTAGAGCCCCCCCTCTCATGGTGCTGACTCCCCCTCGCTGTCTCGGCTGAGACTGGGGCTCCCTGGTTGCAATGAGCAGCCTTGCGGGCAGACAATGTGTGGTCTCGCCCTCCAAGTTGCTCAAAAGGCATCTCTTTTTACTTGAAAGCAACAGAACTGCTTTTCTTTCTGGTGTCTGTCTGGCTGTCCAATTCTTTTAGGAATTGGAAGCATCATAATCGAGTGGGAGATTTTAACATTCAACCTCAATGTCAACAGCCCATTAGACACCAAGGGACACTTTAAAACAATCCATACTAAGGGTCAAGTGGTTCCATCTAGCAGCTCAGCAGAGAAGCGGGTACAAAACATTCCTGAAATATAGAAAAAGTCAGAAGAGTAACAAGCAGCCCCTTGAGGCTAAGGCATGAAAATAAAGGAGCCACGTATCAGTTTTGAGGCAAATTTAATGCTTCTCTTTCATTCGTGTCTGAGGAATCAATGCCTTCGGCCGCGTTTCGTAAGCCCACGTGTTTCGATTTGAACTCGAGGAAAGGGGTCGGAGCCTCCTCAAGGGGCTGTGCCGTGGGATTTAAGAGTGTCGTCTTGTGTTTTATCTGCAGCCATCGCCACGGAAGCATTGGAGCGCTCAGAGGGCCTTGGAGCTGTGGGTGTGGACAGCGCTCTGCTGGGGTACGTTCTGCGATTTGTGTATTGCCAAGCCTTTGTTCGCGTGTTTATTTTTCTTAAGTGTCCACTGGGTGTGCAGAGTCACAGGGAAATGATCAGGCAGACACTGTTCATTCCACCCTCCGGTGAAGCTCTTTCCTCCTCTCATCTTCGGTCCTTTCCCAGAAATCCCTTGCACCTGCCACACCCTTGGCTGCAGGCCCAAATCCTGATGAACCCACCAAGATCTGAGTTAGGAAGGAAGAAGGTCAATTAAGAAATATCTAACAGGGAACTTACAATCTATACCAGATAGTTAGCACCGCGCTTTCTATGATTCACCGACAGTTCAGTGGACATCAGTTCTACAGTTAAAATGTGAGCTTTTTTTTTTTTTAATATATTTTATTGATTTTTTACAGAGAGGAAGGGAGAGAGATAGAGAGTTAGAAACATCGATGAGAGAGAAACATCGATCAGCTGCCTCCTGCACACCCAGCGATGTGACAAATGCTAGGTCTGATTCTTCAAGAGTGTTGGCAGTTGTTTGGAGCATTCCCATTGCCTCAGTAAGCTAATGTCTTCTGACTCCCTGGCTTGAAATTTCAGCTCTGGCCAAGCAAACGCGCTTCCCTCGGCCCCTCACACGTTCCTTGCACCATGTCTGCCCATGGCCCCTGGGGCCCTGGTGAGTCCCTGCTGTGTGCCAGGCACTGATCTTGGCACTGAAGGTCCAGAGAGCAGTGAGCCGAAGGGTTTCCTCCCTCCAGAGCTGACCTTCTGGTGGAATGCCCCTTCACAGTTCGGCCCACATGTCCGTGCTAGGACATTCCTTACTCATGAATCCTATGTGTCATTTCCGATATGTTTGACTTGCTCCAGATTAATTATGTCTTCTTTGCATCTGTTATGCCTCGTTTAGAATCTGTAGGAGACTGTAAAATTGGACCTGTTTTCTGTGATATTTCTCCATGGTGTTGGCCCTACAAGGGTGAAAACTCAATCAATGTTGATGGCTGTGAAAATGTTTACTTCACGGGAGAGCAGTGCCTCACAGATCATACCTGCTTAGGACGGTCCATGTTATCACGAGGTCATTGTGTGGCTATGTGTTTGTCTTGGTTTCTTCAAAGGGCTCATAGTTGAAGCACCCATGATGATTACACACCACCAGTTGACAATGGTCCATGTTATCACGAGGTCATTGTGTGACTATGTGTTTGTCTTGGTTTCTTCAAAGTGCTCATGTTGAAGCACCCATGATGATTACACACCACCAGTTGACATCTCTGAGTCCAGGACACGATCTAAATACATTTCACAATCCTACACCGTTTGGTTTTGTACACATTTGTTGTTGTTATGTAGTTAGATGTCTAAGGCTTGGGCTGTGGACGGAAGTTTTCCCAGAAGCAGTTCTTCCTGCACTAAATGTTATCTTTCTGATACAAAAGACATCACTTAGAAATATATCATTATTCCTGTCTTCATTTTACTTCTCTCCGAGAAGTGTAAGTGCTGGCCTTTAGGAAAGTATCCCGGGATTAAAAACAAAAGGCAGTAAATCTTAGAGATATAGGTTATACTTAAATTACTTTTAAACGATGGACAGCTACTAAGGTAAACACAAATTTCTGAATTATGTTGGTTACATTTCACTTGAAAGAATTTGGAGAAAAAATTATTTCATGTAAATAAATATAGAAAGCCACCAAATTTGTCTAAAACAGAGCTATGTGCAAAAGTAGTCTGTATTGTGGTGAAAAGTGATTGGGACTAGCAGGGGTATTTTCTACTTCAAACCTGCGAATGACTCATTCTGCACCAAGGCGGTAACTTACACCTTTGCTGAGTCGGTTTCCTCACGTCCCAGGAGCGGGCTCAGCCTGGGTTAGTCCTCCAGGCGGTGTCAGCTGGGACTGAGGTGTACACTCTCGCCGATGTCTTTCAGATTTCTCTGCCTACCATGGGACCGACGGCTGGACTTACCATCATTCCGAAGAACCCATGAACTGGCCCAGAGCTAGAAGGTACTGCCAACAAAACTACACCGATCTGGTTGCCATACAGAACAAGGGGGAGATTGAGTACCTGAACAGGACGCTGCCCTTCAGAAGCACCTACTACTGGATCGGGATCCGGAAGGTGGCAGGCGTGTGGACCTGGGTGGGGACCAACAAGTCCCTCACGGCCGAAGCCGAGAACTGGGGCGTCGGGGAGCCCAACAACAAGAAGTCGAAAGAGGACTGCGTGGAGATGTACATCAAGAGGAGCAAGGATGCGGGCAAGTGGAACGACGACGCCTGCCACAAGCCCAAGGTCGCCCTGTGCTACACAGGTAGGGAGGCCCGTGGAGAGAGCCAGGACTCGCCGGGGATGCTGGGCAGAGCGCCTGGTGCTTTCTGAAGTCAGCCCAGGCCTCCAGGCAGCTCGACCAGTCACTGCCGAGCCTTCCTGGAGTGCGAGGCTGGTCCCAACGCCCCAAAGCTGTGCCCCTAAATCCGTTTACATCCGGATGAAACGTGTACAGCCCCAGCTGGTTTTGCTCAATGGCTAGAGCATCAGCCTGCGGACTGAAAGGTCCTTCCCAGGTTCGATTTTAGGTCAAGGCACATGCTCAGGTTGTAGGCTTGATCCCCAGTAGAGGGCAAGCAGGAGGCAGCCAATCAATGATTATCTCTCATCATTGATGTTTTTCTCTCTCTCTCTCCCTCTCCCTTCCTCTCTGAAATCAATAAAAATATATTTTTTCCTTTAAAGACAAGCTGTGTATAAGGAGGAAGGACTAGCCAGTGGTTCTCAACCTTGGCTGCACATGAGAATCACCTGGGAATCTTTTTAAAATCCTGATTTCCGGGCCTCATCCTCCGGAAATTCTGTTTCTTTGTTACTAATGTTGTGGCCCCACCCCATAACAAAGAAACAGAATTTCCGGAGGATGAGGCCCAGAAATCAGGATTTTAAAAAGATTCCCAGGTGATTCTAATGTGCAGCCAAGGTTGAGAACCACCGTCTTATAAGAACTCTTGTGATTATATTGGTCCCACCTGGATAATCCAGGATACTCTCCCCATCTGAAGATCCTCAACTTAACTACACCTGCAAAGCCTCTTTTGCCACATCCTATGTAATCCTATATAATAAAAGGCTAATATGCAAATTGTCCCCTCAACTGGGAGTTCGACCAGGGGGCAGGGCCAGTAGGCCAACCACCCATGGCCCCTCCCCCTGGCCAGCCAGGCCTAATTGGCCCCAAGTGGGGCGGGTGGGCCAGACCCCACCCATGCACGAATTCGTGCACAGGGCCTCTAGTAAGATAATATATTCCAAGTTCTGAGGATTACAATATGGATAATTTTGGAAGGAGTCATTAGTCTACAACAGACATATACATGCTGGCATGCCCCATGGTCGGAGACAATGCTTTTTAGGATCCATACAGATCCTTCAGATAATGGTTTTGGTCAATGTGGGCAAAAAGGGCAAATCTGTAGCAGAATATGTATCAATTCCAGCCAAGTTGAATCACTGGCCCATCCAGGTAGAATATAAATCAACGATCCAGTGAGTGGCTGGCTGGTCCCTTTGCAGGATCGTGCTGCATTGGGGGCTTAGTGTTGGTCTCTTGTGCTGCCATGTTGTGCACTTGGCACTAGCAGGAGCCAGGTCAGCACTGTGAAGTAAGAGCCCTCCCTGTAAATTCCACAAAGAGAACCTTCACCCTTGCCACCAGGCAGAGCTTCCATCTCTATGGCTACTCTGCATGTGCCCTCTGTGACCCCACTAGGTGGACAAAAGCAGAGTCTAGCTGATATGACTGACGGAATCATCATGTCTATGTGGTCATTTATTGTCTCTTCCATGATGGTACGTTACCTGATGGACACCGCCATGTGATTCAGATAGCCACACTTTGTGCCCATTCCCATAGCTCCATTCACATGCCTCTTGGGACAGCAAGGTACCAGCCATTCTGAGAAATGAGAAGTTCTGATCAGAAGGCTGGGCTTGCGACATGTGGGCACCTTTCCGTAAAGATTTCATAAGTCAGGATGAAGTTTCAATTCTCTTCTCAACAAGTCTTTCCCAGAGCCACAGAGAACACGGGGTCAGGAGGACAGTGACACATCAGGTGTGGCAGATTCCTGCTTTTAGAAACTCATACCTAAAGTGTGAAAGACAGGGAAACATTTGTTGTTAGAAGGGCAAGTTGCCCAGAAGGTAATCTCGCTTGTTTATGTTAATCCTCAAAGTCATACCAAGGCAAGACCAAAAAGAAGAGTTCATTCACATAATGACATACAGTACATATAGGTCGGAGATATATAATAATACATACAACACATTCATTTGGGCTGGGTATTTCAGAAGATATAAAGGCAAATCTATTATAGATTCTGCCCTTAGAGGATTTACAGTTAACTGGTGGAAATTATATATGCTCATAATTTGGTTTTCTTGAAAGCAAGGTAAGCCGGGGTAAGTTTGCAGGGACTGGAAACTGCCTAATGAAGCAATCTGGCCTTTATTTAACAATGGGAGGCTACTGGTATCTTTTTTATTGACTTTATTGGGGTGACATTGGTTAATACCTGTTATAGGTTTCAGGTGTACAATCCTATAATACATCATCTGAGTGTTGTATTGTGTGTTCACCACCCCAGGTTTAGTCTCCTTCCATCACCATTTATCCCCCCTCTTGCCCTGTTCAACCTTCCCCACCCCCACTTTCCTCTGGTAATCACGGCACTGTTGTTTGTGTCTGTGAGGGTTTTTTTCTCCTGCCACTTAGTATCGTAACGCCTGCATTTAGGGCAGTTATCCTAGAAGCAGTGCAGGAGATGGAGTGAGTAGCAGAAGGGGAGACAATGAGAGGATCATTAGGATCCTCTTGAAATCGCGCAGAGTCGTGGTGGTAGAAACAGAAAGGGAAGAAGATACAGATTCAAAGGAAGGAGCCTTTGACCCAGTCAACTCACTACCGAGAGACACATCAAATCCTTTGACAGAATTGGTTGAGTTTCAAAACTATGTTTGAAGTATCTGGTGCATAAAATATAAGATTATAAGGAGGGGAAAAAGCAGTATTTGTAAAGAATAAAGAATTGAGGCTGAAGTAAATTTAAATGTCAACCAACTGGAACGGATCTACCTCATTTCACTCGATTGCAGAGCCATGACTCCTACCCAACTCTACACCCTCACTCCATTCCAAAGCTTTGTTTTCTAATTCTTACATCGTTGGCATGTCCATTCCCTTGTTGAACATTTAATCTTTTTTGTCTTGACTTCCATCGTATCACTCTTTCCTGGTTTTCTTTCTACCTGTGATCATGTCTCTTTGGTTTTCTTCAAGGGCATGAACCCAAGCCCACACTGTTGTTATGTCTCATCTTCTATCTCTTGTCCATTGTTCTTTTGATTCTCTACGCTCCCTTTGGTCAAACGTACCAACTTTTGTGAATTCACGAATCTATGTGAGCTTGGACTGATGACCTGTTTCCAGCCCTGAACTCCAAATATACAAGCACATCCTTGGGATGCCCACAGAGTGCAAAGCCACTGTCCCAGCAGCTTTCCACTGTATTCCTCATCTTCGTGTGTGGTACCACCATTCATGCGAGCGCTCTGGTATGTGGCTCTCTCACCAGCCCTACATGTACACACAGTAACACACTACTCATTTTAATACAGTATGATTGTTTCTCCAATTTGTCTCCTGCTTGTCAATTCTACTGCCACTGCCCTCATCAACCTCCTCCTAGATCAGTGGTTCTCAACCTGTGGGTCGCGACCCCTTTGGCTGTCGAACGACCCTTTCACAGGGGTCGCCTAAGACCATCCTGCATGTCAGATATTTACATTACGATTCATAACAGTAGCAACATTACAGTTATGAAGTAGCAACGAAAATAATTTTATGGTTGGGTCACAACATGAGGAACTGTATTTAAAGGGCCAGAAGGTTGAGAACCACTGTCCTATATGATTGCCTAGTTTCTGAGCTGCAATCCACGACTTTCGATGAGTGCCCTTCAAATATGCACACTATGGGCAGGCTGATCAATTGAAAACAATCAAACAAACATCACATGTCTGTGGCCACCCACCCTTTCATGTCCACCTGTCATTTGTCCTACGGGATAAAATTCTAAACTCCTCGAGGCCTAGAGTGATGCTGCTGTACAGTGGGTGCTCATGAAATCAATGAAAAAAGACAGTGGCATTTTGTCTTACCTCCTATCTTTCTCCCTAATCTCATTTCCCCCCCCCCCCCTTCCCCATCTCCTCTTTCCTTTTAGTGACATCAGAACGCTTGCAGTTCTCCACACTGACCTTGCGAGCTCTGTATCTCGTAGATTGCTCATGGATTTCTCTCTCAGTTTGCACATGGTTAATCCACCGTGTGCAAACATTGAAGGCATAGTTCAGGGACCATTTCTTTCAGGAAGCTTTCTGAGGACCCCCATTAGGCGAAGTGTCCCTATTTTTGTTCTAATACCTCCACGTATATCTTCCTTACGTACCCGCATTGCTGAGGCCATCTATGCACGTGTCTGTATCCCCTGGCAGACCGACCGCACAGGAAGTTGGTGCACATCTTACCTGTCACTGCATCTGTAGGATGGAGACTGTGCCTGGAGTGTATCGGGCACTTGCTTGTGGGCGTGGATTGAACTGGACAATGTAATTCACTTTAATTTGGACTTGGACTGGATATGAAAAAAATATAAAAAGTCTTCCAATTCCTTGGATCCATTCTTTATTAAAATATCAAGAGCAGGATCACAGCAATGGCTCAAACTTAATAAAATACAAGGCACGAGAGTTGCAATATTGGCCCAAATAACATGGCAGAGCCTAAAATTGGAGACTGACTTTCAGCCTTAATGTGATCCACTGCACCACCGACCAGAGCAGGGAAACGGATGCGGCTTCTGCAGAGGGCTGTCCTACCAGAGGAGCTGAGGCCTGGCACCAGCTAGGGAGGGTGAGGCAGAGTCCAGGCGGAGACGCTGCCTAAAGACCAATTATGGACACCCCCTCTTCCTCCAAACCTCCCATCCCAACGCCCTAATATTCTCAGTAATCTCCAGACCGAGCCGGTCATTCTCACTTAAACACGTGTAGGTGTAAAAATTCTCTCCCCAGATAATGCCACAGATAACAAGAAGATGAGTTCTTGCTTAATTAAACTTCCCGTGAGCCAGGCTCTATCCTAAATCCTTGCCCGGCATTCGATCATTTAATTCCCACACCAACTCCAGGAAGTGTGTACAGTCAGCTGAGCTGACAGGGTTCGTGGCCCTGTCACCGCCCTGGTGCTCAGGTGGCCGTGCCTGGACTCACGAGCCACCAGGCCCTCTCACCTCCCAATGCTGTCTCTCTTCTTATTCAAGTGACACGGTGTGCGCCCCTGGAGGGCCCAGAGCTGGGCGCCATGGCCTGCAGCCACCCGCTGGGGGACTTCAGCTACAGCTCGCGGTGCGCCTTCAATTGCTCCGAGGGAACAGAGCTCGCCGGGGCGGAGGAAACCACCTGCGGGCCCTTTGGGAACTGGTCATCTCTGGTGCCCACCTGCCGAGGTGAGCGCTGTCCCCGGACTTTGTCACGCAGCCCTGGGTTCCCACCGCGAGGACACGCAGCCCGGTCTTGCTAAGAGGCCTAGATCTTCTGCTGGAGCATGACTTAACCTAAGTCTACACTGTGATGCTGCTCAGAGGGGTAATTGTTAATAAAACTAAGGAGAAACACTGCGAACAAAAATACCAACCCAATACCTCCGGGGCCCTCCCACAGTCCAAGAGTGCTTTTCAGCAGTCACCGTGGTTACGCCGTGTCTTTCCCTCCTCATTGTCAGGGCGTACACCATCCATCTTGCTGAAATTTGGGTTGTTCTCTCCTCTCAAAAACACCTGTTTTATGTGGTGCCCTTCTTAACACCAACTGATTTCCTTCTCCGAGGGCAGAGCTCTTTTTTTAAAAAAATTGTTTTATTTGTTTATTCTCAAAATCATTTTTTAGCTTTTCTCCTTCAGGAACTCTCAGGAGAGTAATAACTGCTGTAAAAACAAAAACACCGTGTCCTGGTCTTTCTCCATCCGAAATAGGGTGGATGTTTCTTTTTAGCTGGCGAGACGATCCCCTTGCGGAGGAGACTTGGGGGGGGGCAGTTTTGGTTACATTTTCTACATCGATGCTTCTGACTCACTAGTTTAAGTGGTTTAGTTCTCAAAAGAACTGTCAGAATCATTTATGGAAATCATAGCACTTGGTGAAGGCTTAGGGCGGGGGTGGGGGGATGGGCAGACTAGAAGGGTTCAATGGAGGAAAAAGGGAACACATGTAATACTTTCAACAATAAAGATTTAAAAGAAAGAGAGAGAGAGAGAGAGAGAGAGAGAGAGAGAGAGAGAGGAGAGAAAGAAAGGGAGAGAAAGAAAGGGAGAGAAAGAAAGGGAGAGAAAGAAAGGGAGAGAAAGAAAGAAAGCACTAAATTGACCAACCCACTGAATTTTATAGAAGTTGAGGGACTTGCTTCAGAGAATTGGGATGTTTCTCAAAATTGCTCAGGGAGACTTTGGGGCAGGGGAAGGGTGGGCATTCTCTACACTCACTGAGAAGGTTCCACAGGGCAAGGCCAGTCCAGGCACTTCCAGCGGAGATGGAGTGACTCCCAGAGGGGCCACCCTCCCTCCTCTCTCACCTCCCACCTGTCTCCTGGCTTCACCCCTGCCTCTCCACTCTTCATAATTCTCAAGAAAATAAATTCTGGAAGCATGATCAGGAGCAATTTCTAGGTTAGGAATGGCTGGGGTCCTGTGGGTGGTTCCACAGTTGAGTCAGGCAGCTTTGGCTAAATCCTTTGGTCAAGAGAAGGTCTCTATTCAGAACGTTTTTTCTTTTTCTTTGAAGTGATTCCATGTGATGCTCTAACAGCACCTGATTTGGGGACCATGGACTGTCATCATCCCCTGGACAACTTCAGCTTTAACTCCACGTGCACTTTCAACTGCTTAGAAGGAACTGAGCTCATCGGAAAGACAAGAACTGTCTGTGAATCGTCTGGAATCTGGTCCAGCCCTCCTCCAATATGTCAGGGTGAGTCAATTTGTCCCAATCTCCTGAATACCTTAAAGATAGAGCAGATGTGGGAAAGACATAGTAAATTTTTATATTTCATTTTGCTTAACGGATGTGCTTTAAAAATAAATTTGTACATATTAATTTACTACATAACCCTTGACTATTCTTGCCTCTTCCTTCAATGACAGCCATTTCTTTTTTTCCGGCCAATTCTCAACTCCTTCTATCTCAGTCCTTAACATCTAAACTCACTGTCTCTACTGAATTACTTCCTATTCATTCTTCTATTCCCGTGCAAGCTCACTTCTGTTAGTCCATTAAAATGCCGCTGCCACGATCACCAATAACCACAGGATTCCAAAAGCAGTGGATGCATTTCTATGATCATTAAGCTGAAGCATCCAAATCTGTCTGTGTATAAAGGGCTGACTCCCTCATCTCTCAATACCTCCACCTGACAGTAGGTGCTTAATAAATGCACATTAAATTAGCTTGTGAAAGACAAGCTCAATTCCAAAAGCAGTGGATGCATTTCTATGACCATTAAGCTGAAGCATCCAAATCTGTTTGTGTACATAAGGGCTGTCTCCCTCATCTCTCAATACTTCCACCTGACAGTAGGTGCTCAATAAATGCACATTAAATTAGCTTGTGAAAGACAAGCTACCCATGTCTGCCCCTCGAGCCATTTGCACCAATGACTTTAAATGGTGTGACCCGTGGAAGCTGTCTGAGAAGCTGATCTCTGTGGGCCAGGGAGTGGGTAGGGAATTAGGGTGTTCAGGGAAAGACTGTATCAGGCTAGGCATCCTTCCCTGTCAAGGCAGCCAGTAGGTGCCTTCTGTTTGGATCCTCTGGGACCATGAGCCTCGTTTCCACTATATAGTGGGTGAGGGGATGGAAGCCCCTTGAAAGGGTTCCTCAAGGTCATGTGGAGAACAGGGATGCCGTCAGACTCTGTGCCAACATGCAGAAGGGAGTGCCTTTCACTGGTGCCACCGATTACAGATGTTTCCACGTGGCATTTTTTCAATAAAGGTTCCCCAGTGAACTTGGTTCACACTTACAAGAGGACATGGAGGTGTGTCCCTTTGTGTATTTGTGATGGAAGTGGGAGGAGTGAATCATTCACAGGTCCGTGCAGGTCCCCGGCAGGTAAACCCCAAGTGCAGACGCACACACAGCTGCTTTAAAGTAAAAGCACGAATGGTCTCCTGCGACTGACAAGTTACCTGTTCAGATCACTGGCTTTTATTTTTCCTACAATCATGTTGGGCCTTTTAGCTCTTCTCTGATTTAGAGTCCCAACCATTCAACAAGGCCACGGAGCTAGATACAACGATGACCACTTCTTGACAAGGCTTTTAGGTGCATCTCCCAGAAATTCCACTATTGACCAGTCTGGGGATGGAGATGGCAGAGGTGTGGGGCTAGAAAAGCCAGTCCAGTCCTTGTCTCTGCCATGGACTCATCGCGGGCCTCCCCATGCCAGTCTCCTCATGTCAGATGGCACCAAATGGGCAATGGTTGGGAGATGGAAGGAGGGGAAAGTCTAACCTCAGGAAATGGCACTATAGAGATCGTGCTGCGGCCTCATGCGAGGTGCCCCCCGGTTCTCTCTCAGAATTGGACAGGAGCTTCTCCATGATCAAGGAAGGCGACTACAACCCCCTCTTCATCCCAGTGGCAGTCATGGTTACCGCATTCCTGGGGCTGGCCTTTATCATCTGGCTGGCCAGGCGATTAAAAAAAGGTACGTGCGTTTACCTCCCTATGAAAAGACTAGACCTGTAAAGAGAAGAAAATAGAAACCCACAGGAAATTAAGTACGAGAGCTTCTGAAGCCGGATAGCGGGCGAGGCTGCACACCTTAGGCCCTGGACACGTGGGAGGCAGCCTCGCACACACTCGCATTACGACACGTGGGCTGATTTTTGTTTTGTTTTGTTTTTCATCCAACAAACTTTAAAATAAACGCACAAAGTCCTGCTTTCTTCAAGGCACCTCGCTTGGGTGATAACCTCACCGAGAGCCACACACCGCGTGGCTTCTGACCTGTGGAGTCGCAGGTCCCCGGGATACACCTCCACATTTCTCCCCCGTGCCTACTCACTAGCGACTCAGCCCCAACAAGGTACTGAGCTCTCCAGCTTCCCCTCCACTCTGGACTGGAGGAGAAGGGAGCAAGGAGGGCTGCCCCGAGAAGCCAGTGTCTGCCCTAAATGGCAGATGAGCCCACCAGGGAGGAACGGCATCACTCACCCACCTGCCCCTGAGTATCCAAACCCTAACATGGACCAGCCTGACGGTTACAGACCCACAGCCCGAGGCAGACCCTGATGTGTGCTGTCCCATTGGCCGGACTCAGCCAGCAGAAATGTCCAAGACTCTGAAACTCATGCATAGTAGGCAGCTTTTAATACACCCCTGCTTCAAGGTCACAGTAGGCAGCTTTTGATACATCCCTGCTTCAAGGTCAGGGGCCATCGGTGACCTCAAAACAACTGCTAAGCAGCTGTGTGGTGTTGCCATTTTAATCCCCCTTCCATCATATGAATTAGCATGTATTCTGTTCGGTGAATGTGGTATGTAAGGGCTGCACCCCTCACCCACCCATCCTCACTGGCAAGTGCAGGAATAGTAGCTACCATTTCTCAATAGTCTTCACTGTGATCGGATCTTTCATCCTAAATTTAAGAACAAGGGAACCTGATTCGTGTTCTAACCAACCAGCAAGACGGGGTGGGGTGGGGGATGTGCGAGGACCTCAGTAGCTGTAACCTGAGAGCATGAGGAGTTAGTGCCTCTGCTCCTGCTCTTAGACATTTGCTAACATCGGGTCCCATCAACTTATAGGACCGTACTAAGTATGTAAGTAAAAGGCAAAATAGGAATGAGATTTCCCTCCCACTACTGATGGTCGTTTCCATGGAGACTTCAAACCCTAGCCCAGTGTCCTCTTTCCTCCGACATTGGGTGGCAGTGGCTGGACAGAGGGGGTAGAGCATCATGGGTAAGGGGTAGCTGAGTAACTGTTGGAGACTTTGGGGCTGCGAGTCACCAGCATAGGAGGATATTTATTCCCAAGTTCTAAAAGCTTTTCATAAATGCTAGTAGAATCAAAAGAACAGAATTGAAGTCACAGTTGTTCAGTGAGGGGGGGAGGGGCTGGCTGAGGCTGATTTGTAAGCAGGGGTGAGAAAAGGCAGTGGGGCTGTTTTTACATTCTTTACCTTGGAGTCATTTCTGTACAAGATCTTAAACTGATAACCTGAAAACTGCGTGCCCCGCTGTGGGAATGAGTGTGGGGCAAACAGGAAACAGATAACGGGCAGTTCGCCTGTTACAGTTATGCCAGCAGAGAGCACAGCCCGGAGATCACTGGCTGTAGGAAGGTCATGCTTCTCTCACAAAACATCCAAACAGCCTTCCTTTCTGAAACCTCTTCTGGTAGCCCCAACTTCAAGTCACTTTTGCTTCCAAAAATTGTAGTTGTAGGTTAATTGAAATATGAAGAATATTTTTTTCCCTGTAGAGACAATGTTAGAAATGACGGGCTAAACCCCTATAGATTTTCTAACACAAGAATAAAAGGGAAAAACAATACATCTGGATCTATGCAGAACTCATCGGCACTGAGAACTTTATATGCTTTTGGGGTTTAGGAAGCTGGAAAAGGGACAGGTGAATCTTTACAGAATAGTAGTCAATAAAACGTCCAGAATCCGGACCCTGTCCCTCTGTCCTCAGATGGCTCTTTGGAACCGGCACTTTGACCCTTGTCCTGGCTGTGTTGACCTCCAGACCTCAGCCCCTTTCTTCTGAGAGAGGAATCGGGGGCTCCAGAAACATGCCCTTGTGCATGGGTTTGTCTAGAAACTTTCCCCCCAGCTGACTAGCCATTATCCTTGGCCCTGCTTGGTAAATGGGGAAATGAGGCAATAATGTGGTTTTTCAAAATTTGTAATGTATTTATATTGATTTCAGAGAGGAAGAGAGAGGGGGAGAAAGAGTGAAACATCAATGATGAGAGAGAATCATTGATCAGTTGCCTCCTGCACGCAATCCCACTGGGGATCAAGTTCGGTCACAGGAATCGAACTGTGACCTCCTGGTTCATGGGTCAAAGCTCAACCACGGAGCCACACCGGCCGGCCAGAGGCAATCACGTTTTAGGCCTAATCTCTAAAGTCCCTGAATGTCAGCAGGGCCAGAGCCGGACTCCCATCTGGACATGGCCCTGAGGCTGCTGGTCTCTGGGTTAAGGAGGCTCTGTTTTCCCCGGGGGTGGAAGACCCTTCCACCGGGACCACAGGACTGGAACAGGGCACCCGGGCACCCGGCCACCAGGGCACCAGGGCACCAGGGCAC